AGCAGTTTGCCCGCATGCGATCAGTTGCAGTATAGAGGGTTTAGTTAAGGCTGTGGCAGGTTTAGACAGCGGATGCTTTATAGATGTTGGAAACTATTTGGAGTTAACAGAAGGACGGACATTATGTAAACACTCCCCCACCCCTTTATTTCCACTGACTTATATAGCCTATGCAAAAAGTGAGAGTTAAATCCTCCTCATTTCAAAAAGAACCAGGTTGGAGGTATTGCACATCGTCTCATCTGGACTGGAGCTTTCTGGACCAGTGCCTTACCAGGGCTGTCACCAAACTGTGAGTGGCCTTGGGTCACTCATTTCTCTTTCTCTGCCTTGGTTTCCCATTGAGGAGGATGCTGATTTCCTTTCAAAACACGGAGAAATACACAGAGTAAATACTCATAGCATCTGCAATATCAACACAAGAGTGATGACTAGCCTATGTGGCGTGTTCCCTCATTTTCACTCCCAATTATTCTTGGCTCCCAGGTATTCTTGAGTCATTACAGTTTTACTAAACTTTCTAGCTGTGAAGTGTAGATTATTAGTTGGTTAGTGGACTTTTGATGACTTTTTAATGAGGCAACACTGTCCTTGAAAAATGTATTCTAAGACCTGCTATTAATTAAGCTGCCACTTCAGAAAATAATTGTGGGGTAATTAGAAGGTAGGCTCATCTTACAAGGAGTAAATGGATAAATTCTATGGGGCCATATTATTATAGGGTCAGACAATGTACCTTGGTCAGAATCGGAGTTTCATACAAGTATTTTCATTTGTTTCCATTTCTTTTTTTCTCTTTCCTGGCTCTCGTTAAAACTCACCTACCCTGACAGTTGTAGGATTGATGTTCTCTCTGCCTGCCTTTGTAAAGGGATTTTTTTTTCCTTTTCCGTGTCTTCTGACCCCTTTTTCCTTTCCATTTAATAGGGCCAAGTCTGTATTTAGTAGACATTTCCACATGCCTTCATAATACGAGGCAGTCCAGAAGACATACCCAAAGCAGAGTGTTTACCCCCAGAAGGGCAGAGAGGGCTAGTGACAGAGCTATCCAGTTTATGCATAAGGCATTTAGTTGTGCAAGTATTAGATTAAAAATCAATAAGATACTGAATTTTTTAAGAGCAGGAAAGCCAGGTTCCACGTGAAGCAGCCATATATCAAGCAGAAAGGATTTCTGAGACATAAGCCATGAGACAAAGCTTATATTTTACAGTGAATTCAGCACCTTTTCTAGCAGTGATTGTCAGTTCTCTCTCCTCATCTTTTTCTCCTCTGAAGCCTTGATGCTGACCCTTACTCAGTGCTCTACTCAGATGGCAACTTTACTGAAACCACCCTAATACAGACTGAAGTACTATTCAGCACATGTATCAGAGCCAACACCAGGTCCAAAGCAGTTAAATATTTGTCTGTTTTTGCTTTTTACACAGGATGTAGAAGCTCTCCAGAGCTACAGATGCAGAGAGACAGAAGAAAAAAGAACGAGCTGTCTGTGTGGTGAAGAAAAGATGGCAAACAGGCAGATAAATTTGAGCCATTGGATACAGCAGCATTAAGAGAATTAGGACAAGCAGACAGCATGGAGACATTCGCCTGCTATATGTTTTGAAAGCGATCCGTTCTTGTGCCTAAGCCGCTGATAGAGACAAATTTTTCTGCTGCCAATTACATTGTAAGGAACGCAGTTGGCACCGAGATCTGTGCCTCGTTGGTCCTGTAAAGGGGACTCTTTGTAGTCGAATGACGCTTCTGGACAAATTGCACCCTGATGACCTCGCACAACTCCTGTACCTTGCAAAGGGGAAGTCAGGCTGGAGCCTAACGTGTCTACAGATTGAATCTTAGGGGATAGGTGATGCAGAAATGAATCAGGTTTTACATCAAGCTGAAGTGCAGACGAGAGGAATAAGAAGAGTTCTTTGTAGACAGGAAAGGGATCTCCTGACTACGGAAAACCACCAGGAATTTACAAGAAAACTATCAAATCTTACTGGTGCACAGCAGAACAATCCTTCTTAAAGGCATGTTTCTGTTCCTTTTCAGAAAATGCAAATGAAATATTGCCCCATGGCAAAGTTTAAATTCTACCATTCACCTTGTTTCACTCCCATGACAGGCACTTCGCTCCTGTGAGGTCTTTGGCACCAGTCCCCAGCCTGGCCCTGACATATTCTCCCATAACTGTTAGCAGCTGTCCACAAGCAGGCCATAACACTGACCATAATCACAGCTGGAATTGCCAGTTCAGACCCACAATGCCACTGAAATGCACCTCTTTCACATGAGGTGTAACTGCCCAACAGCTTATTTCCCACCTGGGACATCCAAACGTGAAAATATTCTGCTCCATTACAAGTGATTTTCTTTACATGGCCGTTAGCTGTGGATCTGGACCAGCAGGCAGTACTACCCTCCCTCTCCATAACACTAAACCTCTGCTCAGTAAACCCGATTTGGGATAATAGTTGCTTCATTTTAGGCAGTGATTCGAGACCCATTGCTGAATATCTGTCACCTTCACTTTAAACAAAGAACTATTGTTGATTTGTCTCTTACCTGTTCTATACCCAGTGTTATTGAGATACACGGCGAAGGTGCGTGGCTCATGAGTAGCCTGCCATGAGGGAGAAGAGCAGTTTTCATTATTGGTGTATATGTTGTGGTTGTGCACATACTTCCCAGTCAGCATGGAGGAACGTGATGGGCAGCACATCGGGGTGGTTACAAATGCATTGATAAAAGAAGCCCCTCCATTCTCCATAATCCGTCTGGTCTTATTCATCACTTGCAAGGACCCTGCAATAAGAGGTACTGATCATCACTGTGCTGCAAAAACTAGTTAGAACATATTGGCTGCTATTATATCATTAAAAGTAAAGTAAAGGACCAGTGATTAGCTTGCCTTTGGACATCAGTCTGTACTACTCCATAGCATAGGTAATTTTAGGAGGAAAGTTAAGATCTTTATTATATCAGCAAAAATATTTTTCAGGATTCCAGAAATAGTGAGTTCTTTCTTCTCAGGCTTCAAAACAAAGTTCTAGACTAACCTAGAAATACAATGTTAAAGCTTCAGAGCTGTATCAAATTTATAGGTCAATAGTTCTTCAAACACAGCTGAAGGAAAACAGTGTGTTAAACAGGCTGTTTAGTCAGTGTGCCAATAAAATACGTAAAATGCTGAGATTATCAATGAATCTGTTACAATTCTTTCCATTTTATCAGATAATCAGACAGGAAGACAGAGAGAGAGAGAGGCAGGAAGTAAGGGAGGGAGTGAGAGATGGGGGGGAGGAGAGAGAATTCGGTAAAATTTTTTCTAGTGGAAAGTTCTCTGGATACAGGATCAGCATGTCTGGCTCTGATACTAAAGCACTGTGCTCAAAATAAGCTTTGGGGATAAATCTGTATGCAAAGAGAATTGGCAAAATTCAGCACCTTTTTCAAGAAACTGCATTGATCCAATTTAAGGAACAAAGACATTTTCTGCATCCTTAAAAACACGTTCTTGAACAACAAGGTGAGACAGGCAGGGCTTGCAGATTTCTGATTGCAGAAAGACTGAGCAAGTCCTGATAGGGTCTGTCAGTATTTGCTGACAGCTGTCAAACTTTGCTCTGTCTGTTATTCAACAGAGCAGAGACTGAAAGGTGAGGGTGAACTGTGGATATGTCAGTATGTGTCCAGGAAACATGTTTGTGAATTGTAATACTTGCACAATTTTGGTGGTAAAAAGAGGTTTCTGGAATTCTACTTTCTTTTTTCTTTTCTTTGGTTTTACAATTAATCTAAAATAGCTGACAGTCGCAGGTTTAAATTTAAATTCATTGATTCCACTGATACAGTAAGAGTTTTTCTTGGTGGTTTTGTTGAAAATCAAATTTTTTTTTTAAAAAAAAGTTTTTAAAAAATGGAAGACATGTCTGTAAAAGCACAAAACTCCCAAGGAGGCTCAACTTTAGGTGTAAGCAGTAAAATCTTACAAACTATCTTACTAGTTAAAGTTGAACATGCTCTGTTTTGCTTTTGGGCTACAGTCAGTGCTGAATATGAAATCATTTGCATCAGAATTATTTGGTTAAACAAAGGAAGAGGCAGTTAGCTCTTCAGCATTTCCTGGTGCAGTGCCAATGTCTGTGTCTTTAAGGATACATTTAATACCCTGCATATATGTCACCATAATTTTGGACTCTTCCTCTTTCACAGCCCTTCTTTTCTAAATGCAGAGCATCTGCATTCATGGTTTTCTGAACTCAATACAGACAAAATCCATATGTTTAGCTATAGATAAATGATATAGAGAAGTAGGAGAGTAACTGAGAGGTCCCTGAACACAAAAAGTCTCCTTTTGTAAGAGTGGGAGCATTTCACTGAGTTGTTGAGTAAAAGTCAAAAGAGAGATCATCCTCACTCTACACGTCTTCATCTTGGACTCCAAGCTGGCTTTTTCTTTTTTAGTTTGTTTTTGGTGTTTTTTTTTTTTTTTTTTTTGCTTTTTGGCATAGCTCTCCCATTTTTGAAATATCACAGTTTATTACTGAGAGCTCAGCTGTAAAGTGCTTGTAGGTCCTTAAATGGAAAGCGCTCCATTCAGGTACGCTAATGCACAGTAAGAGCAGCAGAGCTGATGTGCACCTTCATGCCTCTCTGCATTATAAATGAGTAGCTGCTAGAGCGCTTCCTCGTTCCTCTGCTTGGTCAGCCCTCTGCTCTTGCAAACCTGCTGTTTATGAGTACATTTTTCCTCCAGGTATGCACTTACTGACACTGATAATAGATTTAGCCCCTCTGGAAATTCTGGAATAGGCATTTCAAAGCAGGTGAGACTTCCTCATTTGGAAAACAAAACATAAGTAGGAGATAAAACTTGCTGATATAAGTTATAATCCTTTGCTGTCTGTTGCTCTCCTCACAGCTTGTGCTCTTTACCATCTGGCCCACAGTCTTTGGGGCACATGTACTCAGGCGCTGTCTGACAGCAGGACACTCGCGCTCTACACGACTCATTGGGGAGTACCTGAGGCGAACCAGATAACCGGGAACAGCCACTTTGGACACAGAAGTTAGCAAGTTTTGTCAGGCAAGAAATTCAGTGTCACCTCAGTCTATTCTCATTTATCAAGAAATATGTTTGGTAACCAAGGTTTCATAACAAGTCTTAAAGTTGCTATGGATTTTCATTCAGGTGTATCACAGGTGGGCACCTCCACAAAGGGATGGCTAGAGCCACCTTGTCTTTTTATGGGTTGTACACAAGGCCCCAGGAAGGTGATGGACTTTCTCAGATCTCAGCACATATCCCCATTTTTTCAGCCTGTGTCGTTAAGTGCTTTAGTTCTAGTGAAGATGGAAAGCAAACCAGACAAATTATGCCTGATGCAATGTATTCAGATGATTCTGTGAGTCCTTCACCCAGCGCTGTACTTTTTTTTTTTTTTTTTTTTTTTTAACTTTTCCCACTTCTCTGACATCTCAAAGACCTCTGGGTTAGAAACACTGGAACTACCAAAGTGTTCATTAGTTCTGACTCCTCTCTAACATTATGCAAGATATTATTTACAGTGAGGAATATAAAAGTGATTGAGGGGATCATGGTTTGAGGTACTGATGTGTGCAAGTGATAGAGAATCTGGAGGTCAGGGGAAGAGACTAAAGAGTGAGCAAAAAGTTGGAAATACCTGTACTCGTGCCTGAACAGAGTACAGACCTGACCCCAGGGGCAGCCCCGAAGAGCAGCAGTACGTTGTCTCCATGGGGGCAGTAGTTCTGGGCAGTTCTGGGAGCTGGTGCGTTGCCTTGAGCAAGATGCTCATTTGCCTCAGTGTTGGGCAGTTATTTCTCTACCCTCAGGATCTTGGTGGGACGAAGAAAGTGCACAGAAGCACAATTTAACCAGTCATTTCCCAGCTTCCAGACCCAAGTATTCGCCAAGTTTCTTCAAGAGTTGTGGGCCAGGCTGCTTCACACTGCTTAAGTTGCCATCCACCACCTGATCTGTAATATCCTTCCTCTACGACACATTCCTCCCAACATAGATAGGAACTGACTGGAGTTGTGGAGCAATTTGTGGGGTTTATCTGATAAGTTGAATGAGACAGCAGCTCTGCTGAACTTCTTCGCATCCAGAATGCAAAATTCAGGATGGTGCAGATTGATAGGAAGATGTGCATACTCCTATGCTTTGAGCACTAACTAAATGCAAGCTCCCTGCCTCTTGCAAATTTTACTTTGGATAACTCCCCTGTATATCATTTGCACTCAGCCAGCTGATTAGTTTGGTTCAATGTTTATACATGCTCTGGAGACAAATCCTTCCTGATTGAAGTCTATAACGTACCTTATACGCTTTTATGTTCAAGCATTCATTTAGAACAGCTTTTAGAAATGTTCGTGCTGGGAATACAATAGCAAATAATCCATACTGAGAGACTTTCAGTCTTGTGATTTTTGGATACCAATGCCTAAGCTTTATTCTGTTTGTGGCAGAAAGTGTTATTTCCCATTGACCTTTGGGAAACTTAAAGATTTTTCTCAGGAATCACTGAAAGGCAAGGGGATAATTCACACATGGAAAACAGTATGGCTTTACTTTGCAAATAAGCAGAATGATTTATTAGCAGAAGTGTGAATATAGCAGTACAGTAAGTCTTGGGGCTGAATCCTGTTTCCTGTGAAATGATCTATGAAAAGGGGAAACCTGTGTCTTCGTTTAATGCAGTGGGAATGCATACACATCCAGGCTGTTGCTCAACGGCTTGCTAATAGGAGCCAGAGCGCCCTGCAAATATCCAGAGCAGTTTTCAAAGAGAGGAGCTCCACAATATGAACAAAGTGGCTTGCCACATCCTTCCCCCTCTTTCACCACTTGCAAACCCCCTCACAAGACTGAAGACAGCAAGTCGGTAACGTTGTTCAGAGACATGTGTCTGCTGACCTACCTTCCCTGGTGCCCTGGAGAAAGTAGGCTCTTTCAGACCACAAAAGGAAGACATGACTTGACCCTTTTAACGAAATTTTCAGAACGACTCTATCAAGAAGAAATGCATTCCTATTGTAATAGCTGTATTTTAGGCCAAAAATAGAGCTGGGAACAGCCATTCATTATGCAGCATGGCTAAACAGAGCAGACATTTGAAGGAGTGAGAAATAAAAAAGATAAGATGTGCTCAGATTTAAGGGCCTGGTCTTGGAGATCTGCTGCATAAAAGCACTAACTCTCAGTCATGAAATATAGTTTATTAATTATGTTCTCACAACCCTGAAAGACTGTCTAAATTATAATTGCATCATGACAAATACAAAAGTGCTAACAACTAAAGAATTGCTTTTAGATCTAGACCACTTTTTGTCTACAACTTTCTGGCTGAAAGTATGTGATTTTAGAACAAATGAACTATTTTGTTATAAGTTTTCTGGAATGAAGCATTTTGATTTTTCAATGTCATATGGCATTTTGTTTAGAAATTCACTATACTTTTATTAAAAACACGTCTTTCATTAAAAAACACTAAGAATGCAAGATTTCATTTCAAATTGATTTGCCATTTTTTCACCTTTTTGATCTCACCTCCCACCCCCAAAACTAAAATATTTGCTTGGGGGTAACCTAAAATGATCCTCTTTCTCTCCTTGATTTTTCACTTTGGGCAGTGAACCAAAAAATCAGTTATATGCATAACTACCATTAATATCTTTCTAACTTACTTAATGGAAAACATTCAAAGGCCTCCTGGAACATCATCCAAGTGTTTTAACTTTTTCCATCCTAAGAAAAATATGTGAAAAACACTTCTGGCTGGTATGTCCAGGTTGTGGTCAGATATTTAGTATACTTGTGAAAGCAAAACTATCCTATTTTTATGCATATAGCATAGCTTTAATGAAGATGAATTTTAAACACTTGAATAATTCGTAGAAGTACTAAGCTTATGTCCTGAAACCAGACCAGTTTGTCTGTGTGCATAAACATGTCAGATGACATACATACATGTCACAAATATGTGGAGAATATAGATACTCCTGTATACAGCACTGAGGGAAAGGTTAACCTCATAAGGCTCAAATTTTTAAATGCTGCAGAAAGTCACAAAGTGAAAAAGGGCTTTTGAAGCAAGTTTTTTACCTGTATGTCCTTGCATGTATTATTAAATCCTTTTATGGTGGTGATTAAAGCTTTCCGTGGCAGATTTTGATAAGCATATATTTCCTAAAGTCTGTAATTAAATGTGATGAATGATATTAAATAATATTTGCTAACTCATTTTCCATACTTGTCCCACACTCTGATATTGTTCCAGGACCAGTTAACTCCTCTCAATTTCATAGAATCATAGAATGGTTTGGGTTGGAAGGGACCTTAAAGATCATCTAGTTCCAACCCCCCTGCCATGGGCAGGGACACCCTCCACTAGACCAGGTTGCCCAAAGCCCCATCCAACCTGGTCTTAAACACTTCCAGGGATGGGGCATCCACAGCCTCTCTGGGCAACCTGTTCCAGTGCCTCACCACTCTCACAGTAAAGAATTTCTTTCTAACATCTAATCATCTAAATTGACCCTCCTTCAGCTTAAACCCATTACCCCTTGTCCTGTCACTACACTCCCTGATAAACAGTCCCTGAACATCTTTCAAATTTAAAATACTTTCAATTTAAAATACTTTCTGCTTGGCAGAAATCACTGAAAGACATGTGATGAAATGAAGTAGCAAATAACAATTGTTTCTCACCTAGCTCCACATCTTGATCATCTGTGAGCACAAGGATGATATTTGGTCTGATATTTTTTCGCTCCTGCTGCACGCGTCCTCTGAACCTCGGGGACTTAATGGTGGAACAGTGACTTGTTAGCAATTCAATACCGAGCACTGCCAAGATGAGTGCAAACCAAGAAGACTTCATAGTAGTTCCAGTATTTCAATGAAAAGACCGATCCAGAAGTGCCTGAGCTCTAGTTTTCAAGACCTGTAGGGAGGAAAAGAAATTCTGTTCAAGCAATAAACTCCCAGTCACACAGTGAAAGGATGACGCTTGGGGAAGTCAAGCCTGACACATACCATTTAACATGATTATAAGCCATATTGTTGAATAAGAGCTTTATTCTGTCATTTTCTAAGAATAAACTCGGTCATTCTGCAACTACACTTTCTCAAACAATTTTTGCTTGAAGTCATGCCACTGCCTGCATGCTGTATAGGCATGACTTCTGGTATATTCCTCACAACGCTCGTTCTACACCCCACGCTTCTTTTTGTGCAGCATGTTCCTTATATTCAGTACCTGGGCACAGTAAAAAATTGCTGAGATGCAGACGTGTTCAGAACATCTGTAGGAGGAGCCCTGTAAGGAGAAAGCAGAAGGCTTGTCAGTCAAAGACCTCAGCACTGTGGCTGCGCTTCAAAGTCTCCAGAACTGTTCGTTACAGCTTCTTTCTCTGTCCTGAAAGAAAAGAGTAGAAAAAATTTGCATTCTCCTCAGCTCACCTCCTGAATTTAGTACCACACCTATGCAGCAGTTAGATGGCACCTTGACTGCTAAAGGGCATACATATTATGTCATCAAACACAGGTGCTTTTCCAACAGTTATAGTCAGCCTGAGATTCTGAGAATAAGAGTATGTCCAGCATACAGCACCTGGCAAGAGATAAAGCTATTTTAGGTTAACTCACCTGCACGAGCGACTAAACCCTTACAAAGCAGAGAGGAGAGCGTGGCTGTCATTTGCAATCTGCATTGGATCACTATGTGAAAAGTCGTCTTCGCACTGACAAGAAAGCTCATATTAAGTGACAGTCCAGATGATCTTACCCAGCATTGTGAAAGAGCGTAACTGTCCCTCAATCAATCAACGACGGACCTGAGTGCCTCATCCATAATGCACAGTACCTCTGGCACAGCCTTGTCCTTGATACTCCGCTTCCAGAGTCGGCTCAGTACGTTATCAGAACCCCCTCTCCGTGCCTGTCAGTCAAACAGCCTTGCTTTTGTAAGACCTGATGCAAGCACAGAGGCTTGGCTTTGCTGCAGCAGATTTAAACCCGCGACTGAAAATGACTGATTGGCCCGGGGAGGAATGGGTAGCCACTTACACTTTAACATTTTTGGCATTACTGACTGAAGCTCTGCAAAACCCTCCTGTTACACAAGGGAAGGGAGGGGATATCTGGGGAGCAAAAAGGAAGGGGGTGAGAAAGAAACCACAGAGTCGTGCCTGCTCCCTCCAGGGTACTGACCTGCCACATATGTTCCTTTGGGCTTTATTTTGGGACCGTGGATAAAGCCCGGTGACATTGGTCAATAAAAAACCCCTACAAAAACCACCCAAGCCCAAGAAGATTCAAGAGGTGTGCCCAAGAGGAGGCACACATGGGAACCGGGGTGCACATTATATAATTAGACTGGAGCATAATTCACAAGAAGATCCGTGCACCCACACCTGAGACTTCATATTCAGACATGCAACATTAACTGCAAGCAGATTAATAAGCAGAAATAATTTAATGAGAGCAACACAGCAGACAAAAAGGGCCCCATCACTCACCTAAAAATGCGTTAATAGGAAGGTGCTCTAAATTTCAGGGGAAGAAGCCATAGGAGAGGGAGCGGATGGGACTTGGTGCTGGACTGCTAGAAAAAGGATCGTGTTCTTGTTTTCACATACACCTTTTATTTTAAGCTTCGCAAGCTAAACAGTTTCATGCTCCTCACTCTGGCAGGCTGTAATTACACCAGAAGAGTGTGAACGTCTTTAAAAGGAAAATCCAAGTGTCTGTTGCAGAGAAATCCTGTCTTTCATTGTCTCTGCACCAACAAACAGTCCAGCCTCCGACTAACATTAGAGCACTGCAAAGCCAATACAGAGGATTGGCATTTAATGTTAAACGCCATTTCGGTGATTATACAACATTCAGATAAGTAGACTGGAAGCCTGTAATTAGTCTGGACTGACTTTTAAAAATACTTCAATTTCCATGTATTTGTTCTAAGTCACATAAAAGCTGACAAAGCCCCGAAGACCAGGGTTACCGGAGAAGTCAGCCTTCTTCTGACAGACACCAGACACCACATGCTCTTGGTGCAAAAGCAGAAATACATTTTCTCTAAATGCCTGATCTTTAAATAGCAAAACTTTGACTGACCTCACAAAGCACGAAAGGCTACGTGAAGTGAGACTCAATGTTTAGTTTCTTACCTCAGTTGTACCGTACAGCAAACTTTTTCAGACAATGTTGACCCAGAAAGCGCAGTCATCCTGACTGCACTGAGCAAACATTGGCACCAACGTGTTTGAATAATCCCCCACAGTACGAAACTGCAAGTTCCTGACAATTACACCTCGGTGCTAATAAAAGTTACGCTAATCCAAATGAACATTGACAAGTATTCTTCATTTTACCCTCTTTGGGCTATATTAGTTAGTTTTTAAAAAATCCTTTTGTTTTAGCAAGTTAGGCAAGTCTTTTCTAGGAAAAAGACCATGAAGGGTTTCTTTTCCAGCTCTAACTTTTTCCTCTTGATGAATAAAGGTAAAAATCAGGATTGATCAATGCCTATAAAATTATTGATCCAAGTTTCATTGAATAGTTCTTGCACAAGAGCACAGTAATGCCACCTTTTGTTGCTCATAACTATTGCAGTTTTGCATAGGACAAATCTTTATTAAAAGGTGATCTTTGACAACTTGTCCTTTTACAGCCTGTTTTCCAGTTCTAGAAGGAAATGAAGTAAAGAAAACTGTCAAAATACAGGCTTGACAGGGAAGACAAGGCTGCAATTTTTGTGTTGGTTACTGGCTAGTAGTCTACAAGTGCCCCTACAGACACTGTAATTTGTCTTGAGAAATAGACAAAAATAGGAGAAATTCCAAAAGGAACATTTTCAAATTCACATGGGGAAATAAAGTTTTTTGTGCAATGTTCAGAAATCAAGACGGTACTATAAAATGCTTTTCTCTAGCCAACTAAACAAGTGCTGATCATAGCTTCTATATATGCTATTTGGAAAATTTAAATTATATTTTTGCTATAGAACATATCTATGACAACTGAAACATAGTAAATAAATGAAGCTATAGAAATCTATTTTTCTTAATCTGAATGTAATTTTTTTCTTTCAGGCATTCTTTGTTTTCATAGGAGCACAAATTCATAGTTTGTACTCACCTTTCATGGGATAAAATCTGAAAACTTGGCTCCTTAGTTGGTTCTATGCTGCTAGTATTATAACAGGCAGTTCAAGGACCCGTTGGCATGGAGAATTAATTACCCGTGAAACTTGAATTACATTGGCAGGGAACTGCAAAGAAGGGCTACAGTGCCACTTCTTGTGATGTGGAATAAAAACTAGAAGGACTTTATTTCTAGGTCTCTTAAGAGAATATCTTTCAGTGACCAAGAAGAAAAGCAAAAGGTAGAATAGTATCTTTTGAAACTGTTCGTAGATTTTATATTCATTTTGGCCAAGAAGTGTTTAAGATTTTTCAGTGCGTTGGCTGAAAGTGCTTAATTTGGAACACAAACCAGCCAGTTTTCAAAAAAGAGCATTTTCCCTTCGAAAATCCACTTTGTTTTCATGTCCACATTTTTTACTATGTTCACTTAAAGTGCCATTTTGTGTCTGGCCAATAAAAATCTGTCCAGAATCACATACTTTATTTATGAAACAGGGCACTGAGTATCCATAAATATACTCCATTATAAGCTTTAAAGATGTATTGACTTCTTCATATTTAATATTTGGCAAATGTGGCTTCAACACATCCTTGCATAGGGAATCTGGCTTACATAAATAGATTTCTTTCTTGTTTGTAAATCTGAAATCAAATGTGGGGGTAATGAGTAAGGACACTGGACATATGTCCGTCCCCAATACCATGGGCTATGCAATGCCCCACATCCACAATTCATGATCAAGTGGTAACAAAGAGCAAACAACTCTGTCTTCTCTACACCAAAGTGTTGGTGTTTTCTTTTGAGCATGAGCAACGGGGACAGCACATCATCCAAAGTTATAGGTTAAGGCCTGCTGTTCTAGTGGCCTTTCTTTAGAAACAAAAATAGATCAACTCTGGCCAATAAAGGAAACAGCAGTAATAATAATAATAATAATAATACTAGTAATAATGTGGACTGTGATTGTGGAGCTTGAGAATAAGAATTCTGGTTTCTTTTCCCTTGATATTAGCAATAAATATGCCCAGTGAATTGAGAATGTAAGGAACAACAGGGATCCTAAATCAAGAAACTCCTAATGTAGCAGCAATTTTGTGGTTAAGTATTTCGTTCCTCGTTATTATCCAGTATCCTACTGATTATTTCTCTGTACTTAGGTTTTCCTGCCTCCAAAAATTGACATAGTTGTATATAATTAAGATATAGTCCACAAATGAACATTTTGCTACTTAGGACATTTTTGAGATTTGCTGACAAGTGCTAGGAACTTGCACAAAAATATATCAAAAGCATGGAAAAGAAGCAGAAGGCCTTGTCATTGCAAGTGATAAGTTGCCTCATTTCTTTTCTTTAAAAGACCATTTTGGATAATTTCTTCTTATAGGTTTCTCTGATAAATAAATGGATAAAGCATCTCAAACAACCAAAACCTCAGATATCAATCACCACAAAAAAATGAGATTTCCTTCCTTATCCCAAGCAGAGAAGCATTATCTTGCTATGTATTTTACCTATGACCTGCTGGCAGTTTTAGCTTTGATGAATGTTTTTCACAGGAAATATGACCCCAGTGTTCTCTGTTTCCTTAAAATCAGATTCTCCAAAAGAAAAGTAGAAAGGCAAAAAGGACAACAAGAAGGATTCTCATCATTCATAAAAAGCAGAGTAGGGATTCTGCTATTGACAGCTTTTTGTAATTTCCAATATGACTTTACAGGTTGGTCACATTGGTGGGCATCTAATCAGCATAATTTCAAAAACCTGCCAGTCTGCCTGCAGTGCCAGAAATCGCTGTCATTGGCATCATGTTAACCAGAGGTGGCTTCACCCACCAGTGCCCCTATGAAGGTCAGATTCAGTGGTTTATGCCTACCATTTTCAGTTCTTTGCTTTAAAGTGAAATGTGTCCATTTAGCAATGCTGCTGTAGTCACAAACGTTTTGCATACATGGAAACTCCAAGGTGAAAGGGAGTGAAAGAGGTTTTCTCAGCCACACACATACAGCTTTTGTGAATCTTTGATGTTCATGTCAAAGGGTGGATGGACCTCTCGAAGGCCCACATACTCTGAATCATAGCAGGTGTGCGGTTAAAGACCCAACAAAATTAGTAATTTAATGAGATTATTAATTGCATAAAGATTTTCCAGACAGATTGAAATTACATAATAAAAGATCAGGGAGGCGAGATGTTCATCTGCATCAAAGCAACCAAGTGGTTCAGAAGTCTCACATCTCTCCTTAAATCATATTACCTTGACGGCTAGAGGG